CCGTCTTCAACCTTCTCACGGTCAAAATGGTAAGGAATATCGATATGCTATGTGCGCTTGTGAGATTCAGAGCTCTATAGCACCTTAGTTATCGTTAGAAATTTTGACCGCTTCGTCTCTTGAAGCTCACACAGAAACACCGTGAGCCAAAATGTAACGGGGTTACACGAACCCTAATAACAGGGGTACGTGTGTCACACGATATGTGCATAATATATTTAGATTTTACTCTATGTATTTAGAATATTTAGGAATATCCAGACTTCTAACATTAGGATAAAATATAAAATAAAGTTTCTATTTTGAACAGAAGTGTTCGTTTGTCTTGGTAAGGCTTTTAAGTACTTTTAGAGGCAGCGGATTGCGATCCGCTGCGCTAGTAATTGGTTGATGTAAGAACGAAAGGTCGGTGACCTAAAGACGCTTCATCAAGCGCAAAGCTACGACAGCCCCGCTGCTCAAACCGCCTCCTGTGTAGCCTCAGAAAGCGCCATGTACTCTACTTCCGTTGATGATAACGCCACGGCACGCTGTTTCTTGCTCTTCCAGCTGACGCATCCGCCACTCATCACAAACGGGTAGCCGCTTTGATGCAATGTCTCCTGCCGAGCTAGCGTCTGAGAAACCTTAAAGTTTAGGGTCACCTGCTGCTTAAAACTTGATGCCGTGTGTGCTCGTACCTTGTATGTACCTGAAGACCCGCTCACACCGGCCATAGTCTCGTCATGCTTACAGCCTCTTTCGCACATGGCCAGGCCTCTCTATATACTGAATATTCCTTATATTCCATATTACGTAGAAATACGGAGCGTGACTGGAACAAAATACGGAACATACGGCATTTTATTGAAAAAAAATGCTAATCCTCACTGATTCTTCAATAAAGAGCGAATTTGACGACTGTGTAATATTCCTTCCAGGGAAAATGGAGTAAGATTCGATCTGTGAAGATCATTTTCCCATTTGAGGACAGAGAAATCGCTTTCAACCGTGGCGGTATTAGGGAAAGGGGAGACTAAGCCTCCAAAGAACTCCATAAGTTCAGGAAACCTTTCCTTCAGTCCTGGAATACTCCAAGTTTCAAAGAAACCCGTCTGCTCGTTCATACGACCCAACGCATTCCGGATTCTTTGCTCACAATCGATAAATTTCAGCAGTTGTTTGTGTTAGTATACACTTAAGTCAGTAGAGCTCTGGGGCAGTGAGACCGCCAGCCGATCACGGTATTTTAAAATCATCTGAAAAACATCTCGTGGTTTCAGTGTCATTAGTTCGTGCGGTGAGCAAGGAGGCATATCCGCATTACTAGCAAATTTAACCTCGTCCCGTAAGGCCTCGACAGAGCTCAGACCGTCAACAATTTTCAATAAGATTTCGCCTACAA